GTGATTATTTACTGATTATTTATTCGAACATTATTGTCCGAAGTTTTGCTCTTTCAATATTTCCTTGTTTAGAAAGTATATCTTCAAATCTTCAAACAATGTCAAATTAGAGTGAATGATTCACAAACGTCATCTCTGAAAATTTAGAAAATTTTTGCCAATTACTTATTAATACATGTTTACCAATCGAGCTGAATTAGTTGGCAGGTTGGGACTGTAAAAATGTATTTCATCGTAAATAGGAAGAGCGGAGGCGGTGATCCTCCCCGGGCGACAGCATCTAGGGGCGGCAAATACCATCCGGAATGCATTCAGTTTTTTATCACATTAAGTACCTGCTGTCTTACTGAAGAATGGGGTGGCATTTTTAAATTCTGTAGTTACACCACTGCATCTAACATTTTTACTGGTTTGTAAGAAAGAAGAATACTAAATAACTGTAGACAGCACAGTAAACGCCATCTATTAAGATTGATGAGCATATAACCAAGGTAACGGACAAAATTTTCAAGATCGATGGAAGTACTTCTTTCCCCTCCTTTTTTTTACACGTTTGCGTCACATGAAATTATTCCCGTTTTACTAGAGATGTATCGGATAGTGGTTTTGTCCAATACCAGATAACTCGGTACCAGGAATCAATTCTATAATGATGTTGACGTATGTGCAATGCGCGTGATAGTTTTCACTCTTTTGCTAATCCGTACCTAATAGATGATTTGATCTTTTATATATTTTAGGTGGTTGTAATTTCTTGAACGGAATTTTGATGTCTGATGATTGAGATTACGAATAGCTTAATCAATTAATACGTAGGTACATGTAGATAGTTTATTTAATGAAAGGAAAAACTGCTGGAGCTTCAAGGATTTTAATTGTATTCAGAAAAGAGAATTGTAACGACAAAAGCTAGGTCAACTGAAAACTGTCATCTGCAGGTTTCGATAAGATTTACAGCTTGTGCAGAAACTCGTAAACAGTGCGATTAAGCTTGTGACATGAATGAAACCATTTTTTGTTTTGACAAATGAACTAGACAATAAATAATTAAAGAATCTGTAAGCTGACAGCCGTAGCTATAAAAAAAAACGAAATATCACAATTTTATATTCGCTTCATTTATTTATTACAGATTTTACTAAGTACGATGTAACTACCTAACCTAATTATTTTCTTAAAGTGCGTAGGACCTTCGCTGGGATGAGGTGATAGGGAATGACTCTGTAGAACATGCTAAATACAAGTGTTTTTAGTTGGGAACGAGTACGTGTAGGCGCAGGTGGTGAAGCCGAAACTTGAAAATGGTGTAAATGGTAATTGTGTGTATGAGCTGGTCGTTGATCGGAGTAGGGAATGGGAAGGGGAAGGGGGTAAGGATGACTTTCAGAACACTAAAAACAAATAGGGGAGGAGAGATAGAGGCGCTGGGGTATAGTTGTAGAGTTAAATAGAAGATGATGGGACCATTTGTTGGGGAGGAGGGTGGATTGGAGTAGAGAAACGTCCGTTGAAAATTGGTTTGGTCTTCGTTTCTGTTGTGTATTTTTTACGATAGGAAAAGGCAACCCGTTCCGTATCCATTTGACGGAACAGCCGGTTCATATACACAATCACTCCTTAGAGGTAATTCAGAATTTAATGGGTCGTGACCTTGGGTTGCGCAGTGTTCATATTCCGCCCGATTGAGGCGAATGGTTAACGGCCGAGTAAATGCGTTTGATAGGTACAATATGAATCCACCCTTCGTGCAATTCGATGTTCGTTAGATTTCGATATCTGTATCCCATTTTCAATTTTTAGTTCCATCCTCTGCATTTGCACGTGTATGTTGAAATTATTCCAACTCAACTTGTAATGTGAACTATAAATACTTTAAAACCATACATTTGTAGATAAACGTTACATTACGCGTTGTGACGTTAATTTAAAGCGTCGTGTACTAGCAGCTTACGTATAATAATCACTACATAGTATAAAACAAAGTCGCTTTCCCGCTGTCTGTCCCTATGTATGCTTAAATCTTTAAAACTACGCAACGGATTTTCATGCGGTTTTTTTTTTAAAGATAGAGTGATTCAAGAGGAAGGTTTATATGTATAATACATGCATAATA